CCCGGGGCCTGTCCCCCGGCCGGGCCGCTGCCGCCACCATCGCCGCTGCTGCTGCCGCTGCTGCTGCCACCGCTGCCGGTGGTGGTGGTGGTGGTGGTGGTGGTGGTGGCGGAGGGCGTGTCTGGCGGGGCGTGCGGGGCTGCCACAAGCTCCCGCTCCTCCCATTCGGGCAGGTGGACCAGGCGGTCGGGGATCGCCCACTCCACCTCTGCAGGCAGGCAGGCAGGCCGGCAGGCCGGCATGTGGGCAGGCGGTCAATCACACGGCCGATTGAACCCGCTCAAAGAGTCGAGCAGGCAGCCAGTCGGGTTGCAGTGGCGGGGCATCCAACCGGGCGTGGCTCTGTGCAAGGGGCCGTTGGGGGCAGGGCTGCAGGCTGCAACACCACCAGCAGCACCACCACCAGCACCACTGCAACTGCCACCACTGCCACGCGGCCACAAAACAACCCCAGCCGCCCCACCTGCCAGCGCTGCAAGCTGCTCCGCCTTGCCCTCCACGCTGCTGCCGTCCAGGATGGAATAGACGGCGGGGACGCCGCCGGTGCTGGCCGCCGTGGCCGCCAGGCGGCGCGCGGAGGCAGAGGCGCCACCGCCGCCGCCGCCGCCGCCGCCGCCGCTGTCGCTGCCAGCACCCGCCAACCGCTGGGCCAGCGCCACGCCGTGCAGGCCGGCCGACAGCTGGGCGGCGCCGCGGGCCGCTGCCGTCCCTGCCGTCGGCACGCCGGAGCGGAGCTTCACAATCACTCGCCCGGGGGCATACACGGGCGACGGCGCCTGCGGGCAGCGCGCGGCGGGCGGCACGAGACGCTGAAGCAGGCAGCAAGCGATGCCGGGGGGTCCCAGCTGCTCCAGGCATGGATTCCCTGCTGCCTGCCTGAAGAAGAGGATCCGCCCCAGCAACCCAATCACCAGTCCAGTCAAAACCGCCTGCGCACCTGCAGCTGCGGAGAGGGAAAGGGCGGCGGCGGCACTGCCGCCGCGGCGGGCTGCAACGCCGCCAGCAGCACGAGCGCCGTTGCCAGCACGGCTGTGCTGCCCCCAGGGCCTGCGAGGGCCGCCCGTCGGTGCTGCATGGCCACCCCAACCGGGTGCCGCGGCCCGGCTCAGGCGCTCGGGCAATCCATCATTCTCGTCTTTTCTTTACTTTGCAGCTGAACCTCGAGAGGAGACCGCCGCTGTTGCTGGTGTGGGCACTACAACAGGAGCGGACGTGGGTTGCGCAGGGCTCGAACACTGGTGGGTTTGGGAGCAGGAAGGCGAGCGCTGCGGCAATTGGCCGGCCAGGGGGCGACCGGTGCTTGGAATGCAGGTGCCAGCGGCGACCCGCCTGGCGCTGCCTGCCTGTGTGTGCCTGCCTGCTCCAGGCGGCATCCTGACAAGACAGAGAAAAGAAAATGCAAAAAAACACGAGGTAAGCCAGATAAACCTCGTCTCATGCCACTGACTCCACCTCAGTAGCCTCCTTGCCTGCTTCCAGCAGCAGTGGCGGAAGCTGCCTCCTCAGCTCCTGGACCATTGTCTCTGCCTCTGCCCAGAGCCGCTGATATGCTGGCAGCTGCAGCAAGCCCGCCTGGAAGGCGGCAACGCCGGTGGCAATGCTGCTGCTGCTGACTGGCTCGCTGTGCTGCTGCGTGGCTGCCGCAGCCACCACGTCAGCAAAGTCTGCGGCTGTGGCTCTTGATACATCTGTCACACTGATGAAAGCAGGCTCCCCAGCTGCTCGCCTGTTCGGTGGCAGCCCCTGCTGGCGCCGCCACTCCTCCAAGAGCAGCCGCTTGTTTGGCACCAGGCGCAGCAACAATCCCAGCTGCTCCAGGAACAGCAGGCGGCCCACAAGCCTCTGCGCAGACCTGCCTGTCACACAGCTGGCCCAGCTATCGATTGCCTGGGCAGCTGAGAGATGCCCTGGCATGCATTGCTGCAGCGCCAGCAGGTTGGCCAGCAGAGACGGGTTGAGCCAAACGAACTCAAGCACCCCAGGTCATCTTTTAGCAACGACATGTGGGTCCGCCACCCCACACAGCCGCATCACCACCAGATTACGCCTCCATAGAGAGGATGGCACGCCCAGCAGCCCTTATGCGGCGTACACCATCTCGCACCCCGTATCCCTGCCAAACTCCTGCAACGGCGGTGTCGAACAAATAGACAGCAATGGTTGAACACTGCAGACGGCTATAGGGATGCAGCAGGCTGGCAAGCAATCTGCTTGTCAAGCAGGACAGCTGCAGCGGCGATGTCGGCATGCCACACTATGCATGGGCAGCCTATCTCACCACAGCAAGCGCCTGTGCTCGCTCACGGAAGGTATCCACACTGCATTCAGCCGCGCGAGGATGCCTCCGCAGCACCTTGAGCCACAGCTGGCTGTTGCCGCCCAGCTCCTGCTGCAGCGCAGCCTCCACCTCAGTAAAGTGCTCAGGAGACCGGGTGAGCAGGCTCCACGCCTTGGTGTGCAGGGTTGCTACCAGCTGCTGCTGGCTGGTCCCAAGCTGAAGCAAGTGGTCGATTGTGCTCTGCAGCCGCTCGCCGCTATAAACCAACAGTTGCACTGCAGAGGGGTGCTTCATCAGCAACTCCCCAAGCACCTGCTCGCCAGGCTTGCCCGCCGTGCTGCCGGCACCCGCCAGTGCTGCCATCACCGCTATGGCCGGCTCAAAGCTGGGCACATGGGCTGCATTCGGCCGTTGCATAAAACAGTGAGCTGCTGCGGTCGCCGTCATGCCCAGCCGCCCCATCAGCTGGCCAAACAGCACTCGTGGCCGCTCCTCGGCTGGCCGACTGAACAGCTCAGGACAGCGCTGCAGCAGCTGCGCCATTTGATGCTCCTCGATCCCCAGACTGCAAAGGTACGCTGATACTGCCAAGCCGTGGTCGATCATACCCTGTTGCCGTGGAGCATCCAGAGCGGCCACCGCTCGAGCCAGCGACGCCACGTCAGCGACGCCGCACTGCACAGCCAGCGGCTCCAGCTTGGCTCCCAGTTCCGGCGGCACGGGCACCATCTTACCGGTGCGCCTCCGCGTCACCATCTCAGGCTCGCCGCTGCCATCACTGCCACTGCTACTGCCACTGCTGCTGGCGGCACCTTCAGCTGCGGCAGGCCGCCACCGGCGGCGGATGTGGAGCGGTCGATGCGGCGCCAGCGCTTGTGCAGGTTGCCGCCGCCGTGCCGCTGCCTGGCTGGAAGGATGCTGCGCACAGGGTGAGTAGTGCCACGAAATTGAGTGTGCGAGCCAGGTGCGCAGTGTCAGGGGAGTGCGACCCACGAAGGAGGACCAACACCAGCCTGGCAGCGGCGGAGGGCGGAACCGTGCAGCCCAGCTCACCCGCGCGCCCCACTGCTGCCATCGCGCCCTTCTGGGACCGGCAACTGACGCTGCCAGCATGCTCTGTTGCCAGCCCGTTGCGTGACAGCAGCGGTGAAGGTATTGGGCGCGCCACAAACTCACACGCACTTCCGTACACCCAGCCCTGATCCAGGCGCAACGACCAGGCCTGTGGCAGTGCCGCGCCCCGATCGGGAAGGTGAGCAGGGCAGCAGTAAGCCCGCGGTCAGCGGGCGCAGCACCTCCGCCGGTCTTGTCGAAAAGGAATTGACTGAGCATGTGCCCACAGCCTCACTCGATCGTTGCCATGGGTGCACATTGTAATCTGATAAAGCAGGTGCCTATGCTGCTGCCTCTATGCCTGAGCAATCCTGTGCCACTTTATGCTGCGTCAAGGCGTTGCTTGCGGCAGTCCTGTAGACCTCTGCCTACGAAGAATCACAGACAGTTGTAATGTATACTCATGCATGATCAGTATTTGATCCTGGAGCCCATGCAAAGTTCTGGGCGAGAACAGAGGTTTGGCCAAATTTGGGCGGTTTGGCCGGTTGGAGACGGCAGCGGCAGGGTGGTGGTGGCGGGAGTGTGCTCTGCTGTGTCATCACTCACGGCAGTCGGGCGGCCGTCATCCAGCTATCGCAAGATCACAAGAGGCATCGCGCTTGCGCTTGGAAACCGATGTCCCAAAAGCGCAGCAGGCAGCAGGAGCTCCCCGCTGCCCGGGCCGTTGCAGCGTTCAAGCTTTGTAGCGCAATCCTTGCGGCAGTCTGCATGCGCCACTCCCAACATTATGCGGTGGGCGCTGGCCTTTGAATCGCCCTCGGCGGAGAAGGTGCGGGCCTTGGCGCGTTTCCCGGGCTCAGGAGGCTGCGCTGCCAAGTTCATGCCCACGAGAGCGAGCAAGAGTGGCACGAAGGCGCCAGCCACTGCGTCTGTCACCAGCAGCAGCGGCAACGGTGGGCAGCACCAACGCCGACCAACCCCTTGCCGGCTGGCTGCAGGCTTTTGTGAGGCGGAGGAACCAGCAGCTGGTGAGGCAGGACGTCTCTTGGAGCCTGTTCTGGACCTTCCAAGTCGCGGGAGGTGTCTTCAAAGTGAGTTGGCAGGCAAAGGTGATGGCGGCGCTGGTATCCGCAGCTCACCACCTCTCTCCTCCCCAGCTGCCTGGCTATGCCGCGGTGTGCCAGGTGCAGCAGCATCCACATCTTCTGCCACGCAGCGCGCCCGTGCCCTTGCTGCCATTCGAGCTGCCAGGCGCCGCCTGCGCCTGCCGAATCCCGCCCAACCGCCTTTTGGCTCGCCTGGCGCCGCCTGGCATGCAGTGGGCCCGAGCAGAGCACCGCGATTACTCAGAGCTGGCCTGGATCCTGCCCTACTTCTTGTGCTGCCCCGCGCTGCTTGCCGCCATCCGCCTCAGGTGCGTGGCAGCTGCCCGGGTGCCAGTTCGCTGCGCAGCGCAGTTTGGCGCTCAGTTGTACGCTTCAGCCGGCCAGCTTCCCTCCCAGCTTCCACGACCGTGTGCGTGCCTTCCTCCCCGCCCCGCCCGCAGGCCGCGCTGGTACGTGCGCCGCCGCGTGGCCGCCATCACCGCGCTGCGCCTGGCCCGCACCTTCTTCTGTGAGCGCCCCGCCGCCGCCTGCCTCGCTGTTCTGCCAGGCATAGAAGCTATGCGGCCAGGAAGGCCGGATGGTTCCTGTGCAGCGCAGCGCGGAGCAGCGGCTGGCTGCTCAAGTGTGGGGCCTGCTGCCGCGCCGCACGGCTCATCATTGCTGTCTGCTCAGCAGCGCCGCACCTGCCTGCCTGCCCGCCTGCAGTCATGTCGTGTGTGCACCGCTGGGAGGCGATTTACCTGGGCGCTGCGGCAGGCACCACACCCACCACACCCTTTGCCATCGTCGATCACCTGGCGTGGCGGGTGGGTGTGATCACTCGGCCCGGATGTCGGCTCGGCTTGGCTCCGCTGTTGGCTGGGCTGGGCGGTTGGCTTGCCATGCGGTGCAGTGGCGCCGGGCCTGCGGGCCCTGCCCGCTCCGCCCTTCGCCAAGCGCTCCACGGGCCACCAACCGCTGGCGCGGCGCCCGCGCCTGCTCCCCTGCAGCCGTCCGCACAGATGATGGCGGGGCTGGGGTTTGTGACGCCCTTCCGGGCCTTCCTTCCTTTCCAGCTGCTGTACCTGGTGCTCAGCCTGCGGGCCACCGCCCAGCGGTGCTTGGGCGAGTGCGCGGCTGGCGGTGCCGCCGCCACGGCTGCCGGCGCGGCGGCGGCAACGGCGGGTGCGGCGGCAGCAGCGGGAGAGCCGGCTGGCGCGACGCCGGCAGCTGGAGCCGGCTGCTCAGCAGCACAGCGGTACTACGAGCGAGTGCTGGGGTGGATTCGCAGTGCGGTGCCTGTTTCGCGCCGCCTGCCGCTAGGCTGGCGCCTCGGCCCTGGCGGCTGCGTGGCCAGCTGCTATGCGGTGCACGCCTGGCTGCAGGTGGGTGGCTGCCCGACCTTTTGCCTGCTGTGCAGCCTGCAGCAGCGCCGTGGGCAGGTCCAGGCTTGCTGCCGTTGTGCCTCCACCTGCCGCCACCTGCCTGGGCACCCCTCACTGCTCCTTGCTGTTGCTCACAGGGAGCCTTGGGCGTGCTGCTGACACTGGCGCTGCTGTGGGGCTGGGAGGAGCGGCTGCGGTGCCGCGAGCTCAAGGCCTGGCGGCTGCGCCTGCAGCAGCTGCAGCAGCAGGAGGGCGAGCCGCGGCAGCAGCCTCCTGAGGACCTGCCGCCGCCCTCGCCCCGCTGGCTGCGCATGGTTGCCATCCCGGAGCCGCTGCCGAGCCTGGCGCTGGCGGCGGGCTGGGTGGCGGCCTGCTGGGGGCTGTGGGTGCTGCTGGAGGTGGCGTTCCTGCCGCCAGATGCGGGCGTGGTTGGCGGCTTGAGGGCGGTGCGAGGCCTTTGCGCCGCACCCCAGCTCCCCTGCTGTTAGTGCAGCGCCGGGTGCTGCACCGATGGCTCCAACCCATGTTGCACTTTGTGTAATGGCGTGGCATTTGCCTCGCTCGCGGTTCAAATGGGCGAGGCTGTCAAGAGGTGGCAGGGCCTTGCCGCGGCGGCGTCAGGGGCAGCGGGCAGCGGCTGCAGGGTGTGGTGTGCGGCAGCCGGGCAGTGAGCACGATCAAGCGGCGTCCCAGCCAGCGGCAAGCAGAATCCTATCTGCTGGTATCCAGAGCTGGAAACCTCCTTGCTCAGGGACGAGACTATACTCGTCAGGCAGAGCAGGCTGCTCAGCGTTTTCTTGAATCACATGCATCGCCCTCGTTTGCAATTGCACTGCACCAGCGATGTGGCTGGCCTTCCAGTCGCCGAGCGCTGAAGAAGTGAGTCGGGGCTGGGGCGCTGGGGCCGCGGCTGCTGCTGCCGCCCCTGGGGCGCCCCAGCGTGGCCGCGAGGCCGCAGGCGTCGTGCAGCGCGCGCGCGGGGCGCCGGGCTGGGGCGCAGGTCCTGGTCGGCGGGGGCCGCTGCCTGGAAGCGGCAGCGGGCGCTAGCGTGCCCCCGCCGCCGCAGGGGCGCCTGAACAGGCTTGCGCCACAACATGCACGTATAAAAACGCGGCCTGGTTATCAGTCGCGGCATAATGGCAAGCTCCACTGCAGCGCCACGGCCTGGTGCCGCTGTCCGCTGCCGCTCCTGCTCCGGCGGCATCACCCTGCGCGCCGTGCCCCTTTCCTCCGGTGCAGGCGTTTGTGGGGCGGCGCAACGCACAGCTTGTGGGCCAGGATGTGTCCTGGTGCCTGTTCTGGACGTTCATGGTGGGAGGAGGGCTGATGAAGGTGGGTGCACGCCACACATTCTGCGTGCATGCCCTTCACACAACTCGCTAGCAAGCGGAAGCCCTCCCCCAGCCCCGGGCCTGCGGCAGCCGCCACAAGTTGCGCGGCTGCTCGACCCCGCCGCCTCACAGCCCCTGCCTGCCCTTGCCCTGCCTTGCCCTGCCTCGCCGCAGTGGGCCCGCACCGAGGGCCCCAGGGACTATTCCGAGCTGGGCTGGATCCTGCCCTACTTCTTGTGCTGCCCCGCGCTGCTGGCCGCCATACGCCTCTGGTGCGCTGCACAGCCGGCCGCGCAGCCGGCCGGCTCCTGGCTGCCTGCCCGCCTGCCTGCCTGTTGCACCCATGAGGAGCAAGTGAATGCTACGGGGCCAGCTGCGGTGCTGCTCCCCCCACGTGGGCCGCACCTTCGTGGGCCCAGCTCTTGCCGCTCGCTGCGCCTGCATGTGCCCTGCCGTGCCCTGGTGCGGCTGCATGTCGCCCCCCAGCTTCCTCCTAGCTTCCACGACCGTGTGCGTGCTTTCCTCCACCCCCGCCCGCAGGCCGCGCTGGTACGTGCGGCGCCGCGTGGCCGCCATCACCGCGCTGCGCCTGGCCCGCACCTTCTTCTGTGAGCGCCCCGCCGCCGCCGGCCTCGCTGTTCTGCCAAGCACAGGCGCTAGGCGGGCGGCCTGGCCGCTGCCCTGGTGCCAGCGTGCCGCGCTGCAAGGGAGCTCAAGGCCCTCGAGCATACTGCCTGCCTGTTTGCCTGCCCGCCTGTTTACCTGCCCGCCTGCCTGCCCACCCGCCTGCCTGCCTGCCTGTCTGCCCTGCCTGCCTGCCCGCCCGCCCGCCTGCCCACCTGCAGTCATGTCGTGTGTGCACCGCTGGGAGGCGATTTACCTGGGCACCACCACCACCGCCACCCCCACCACACCCTTTGCCGTCTACGAGCACCTGAGCTGGAGGGTGGGCTCGCCTGCTGGGCCTGCCGTGCCTGTTTGCGGGTGCTGGGCCTGCTGAGACTGCTGCTGCGCCTGCGGCGCCTGCCTGGCATCATGGGAGGGGCTGGCGGCGGGGCTGGTGCCCAGCGCTGCGCAGCAGCACCAGCGACGGCAGCGGCGGCGTGCCCGTCCTGGGCCGCGGCGCAGCCTCGTGTCGACTTGTTATGCCTATCTATGGCGGCGAGCCGGCAGCCGCAGCGCAGCGGCAGCAGCCGCGCTGCCGTCCTGTCACCCAGCATGCATGCGCCCCGCTCCTGACCCGCCCCTGCCCTCCCTGGCCTGGCCCCCCTGTGCAGCCGTTCAGCCACATTGTGGCGGGGCTGGGGTTTGTGACCCCCATGCGCGCCTTCCTTCCTTTCCAGCTCTTCTTCCTGCTCTTGAACCTGCGGGCCGCTGGCCAGCGCTGCCTGGCGGAGTGCGCGGTCGGCGGCGCGGCCACGGCCGCAGCAGCCGCCTCGCCCGCGGCTGCGGCAGCGGCGGCGGCGGCGGCGGCAGCGTGCCAGGCTGGCGCGGCGGCGGGGCAGGCGGCGGCAGCCGTGCAGGCGGGCTTTAGCGGTTTGACGGCCGACCCGGCAGCAGCACAGCAGTACTACCAACAAGTGCTGGGGTGGATTCGCAGGGCGGTGCCGGTGGCGCGCCGCCTGCCGCCAGGCTGGCGCCTCGGCCCCGGAGGCTGCCTGGCCAGCTGCTATGCGGTGCACGCCTGGCTGCAGGTGCGTCCAGCCGCGCTGCTCTGCCCTGTACTCTGCCTGTGGCTCGTCCTGCTGAGGCTCAGCCGCCTGCCAATCGCTGCGCTGCCGTGGCATCATCCCGCCGCCGCGGCGCGCCCCTGGGCTGCCCCGCTCGCAGGGAGCCGGCGGCGTGCTGCTGACGCTGGCGCTGCTGTGGGGCTGGGAGGAGCGGCTGCGGCGCCGCGAGGTGAAGGCCTGGCGGCTGCGCCTGCAGCAGGCGCAGGAGGAGGAGCGCGAGCGGCGGCGCCTGGGCGGCGGCCCGCGGGCCGGCGGCAGACCCTCCCCGGGCTCCCCGCCGCCCTCGCCCCGCTGGCTGCTGCTGGCGTCCATGCCGGAGCCGCTGCCGAGTCTGACGCTGGCGGTGGGCTGGGTGGCGGCCTGCTGGGGGCTGTGGCTGCTGCTGGAGGTGGCGTTCCTGTGAAGGCACCCACCCCACACACCTCCCTCACCGGCCCTCAACCCTGAAACAAGGCTGGCGACGCGCCGCTCGTGCGTCGTTACTCCGTGCCCCAGCCCTCCCCGTAAGCGCAGCAGCCGCCCGCCGGATAGCTTGCCTCCGGCCTCCCGCCTCCAGCCTGCCGCCGTTTGGATGCCTCTCCCTCTATGCCGCCGCACCTAGGCTCCCCTCTAGGCCCCGGCCTGCGCCCTCCCACCACCCGCATGCCATAGGGGCAGCGCCCCTCAAACGCACGCACCCCAGCCCCTCTCCCCTACCCTGGTCTTACCTTGCAACACCCTTCAAGTTCCCGCAAACATACACTCCAAACCCCTTGTTTCCCCGATTCTGTCAGCAACCTGCCTTGCTACCTGCCTTTGCTTCTGCGCCACAAAACCCACCAGCTCAAGCCTTCACCCTGCCCCTGCTTTGCTACCATGCATCTCCACCTTTCACCAGCTCAAGCCGCCCCATTCTTACGCCCATGCAGTTTCTACTTCTTCTCTCGGTATCCTCTCTTGATTCGCTGCGGGCGCTCGCAAGAGCCGCCTCCTAGACACCCTGCCTCCATGCTCGCTCGCTCTCTCTTTACATGCATCGCAACACACACACTCTCTCTCTCCGCAAGCACACCAGATGCAACTCACAGATGCACCAGCCGCTGCTCACGGGCAAGGGAGGGAGCAGCCGCGGCTGGATGCATCGCCGATGCATGCCTGGCGGCTTTTGGGAGCGCTCGGAAGGGGCGGCGCCGCTGCTTCCGCAGGCGCCGCCCATGCGCCGCCTCGCAGCAGGTTTCAGGTTTCATGCATGGAGTGTGACTCGATGTGGCTGCCGTAGCTGCACCGCGGCCGCCAGCCGCAGCCGTGCACCCGGCTGGCAGGGCACACATGCCTGTGGCCTCCGCTCAGACCAGGTCGGCCCCATCCGAGGCATGCACCTTCGTGCCAATTGAGAAGGCGGCTGCCGAGGAGGCGGCGGAGGCGCCCGCGCCGGGGCCCCCCGCCGCCGCCCCCACCGCCTGGATCCCGGCCCCCCACGCCCCCAGCAGCCCGCCGCCGTCGCCGGCTTTGCTGCCCAGGCTGCCGGGAAGGCCGCCGGCCTTGCTGCCCAGGTCTGCCAGCGCCACCGCCTGGCCCTTGGCCGACACCATGTCTGCTGCGGTGGGGCTGTCGCCTGGGGAGTCTGAGCGGGGCTCGTAGGCTTTGTAGCAGCGCGCGCGTGCCAGCTGCAGGCGGGAAGGAAGGGTAGGAAGAAAGGGCGGCGAGAGGTGAGGCCGGCAGGGCTGGCTGGGCGAGGGCGTGCCTGGCACGCAGGCAGGCAGACCCCGGGAGGCCGCCTACAGCCAAGCATCCGAGCCTGCTCCGCCCTTGGAGCGGCAGCATGCACCCAGGCAGGCCCCTAAGGCCAGGGAGGGGGGCCAAGCTCGCCTGCAGCTTCTGGTGCAGGCGGGGGCCGGCACACGCCGCCACCAGCGCCGCGGCGCCCGCCAGCCCTCCCAGCACCGCGAGGGCGATGCCCCAGGCAGGCATGCCGCCGCCGCTGTCGGCGCTTGCAGGTGCAGGCGCGCCGCTGGCGCTGCCGCCGCCGCCGCTACCGCCGCCGCCGCCGCCTCCAGATGGCTGGGGCTCAGGGTCGAGGCCGGGCGGCGGCTGCTCCCCAACCTTTACAAACTGCGCCACAGGCTGAACGCTGCCGTCTGCAGGGCGGCAGGCAGCGGGGGCAGGGCGGCGGGCGACGGTGAACGGCCGGGGCGGCCGCGCAAGGCAAGCTGGGGAGGGCAGCTGTTGTGACAGCTGGGCCCCACGAGGCCGCGCAGGTGCCGTTGGTAAAACAAAGAGCAAAGCTATCGTCTGCATTATGCCTCAATAAAACCCCAAATGGAGCCTTCACGCCCGAAGCCTTCACAGGTGAACAGACTGTGCTGGTGAGGGGAGGCGGGCAGGCACACCTGCCGCCAGGCACTCCAGCCCCATCATGCGGCTGTACTTGAGCTCGGCAGGCACCAGGATGTCGGCGGTGGGGCAGGACAGCCTGCGGTACGATACGGGGCGGTACCAGTGTGGTATGGTACGTGGTGGTACTGGTTGGGTCACCGCAGGCCAGGTCAGCGCCGGCCTCCACCGGTGTGGCACCATGCTCAAATGTGGCGAGCGCCGGCGCCGGCAAGAGGCGGCAGGCCGCGTGCGGGAGGCTTGCGTGCAAGTGTGCGAGCACAGGCTGCCGCCGCCGCCGCCGCCGCCGCTGCCGCCGCTGGCAAGGCATGGCAAGGGGGCCTGGCTGCCCGGAGCCTCCCACCCCTTAGGCTATACCATAGCCTCTACAAGAGTGCCAGCACACAAGGCCGCCGCCGCCGCCGTTGCCAAAGCGAGGGAGTCCCTCACCTGTTGCCCTCCATGCTCACCACCACCGCCCGGCTGTCTGCCAGCTCCTGCGCCGCCCAGGCGGGGAAGGGCCCGCTGCGGGCGGTAAGGCGCGGGCAGGGGGGGGCGGCGGGAGGGAGGGGAGGGAGGGCAGAGGGAGGAGGGCAGGAAGAGAGGGGCAGGAGGGAGGCAGGGAGGAAGGAGGGGGCGGGGGATGGTAGAAGGAGGGAGGGGATCCACGTCAGCAGCGGGGCCAAAGGTGCACGGGACTCACGGGGCAGCCGTGGCGGTACCAAAAGCAGTACCACAACAAGCAGAGTACTACACCAACCAGCCGTCGCATGCCCCGCCGGCGCGGTGGCCGACCGCCGGCCGCGCCGCCCGGCCGTGCAGTCCGGGCCCCACCCCCACCTGAGCTGGTTGTTTGATAGGTCCAGCGTGGCCGGTACCGCCACACCGTCGACCAGCGTGAAGCCGCCGCCGCGCACAAACAGGCCCAGGCTGCGCAGCCCCTCTGGCACGGGCCCCGTGAGGCGGTTGCCCGCCAGCGCCAGCAGCAGTAGGCGGTTGCGGGGGCCGCGCGCGCGTCGCCGCCCCGCGTCGCCACCCTCTGCCGCGGCCGCCACCCCCGCGGCAAACACCTGCAGGCCGCCGCCCAGGCGGTTGCCGCCCAGCTGGAGCACGGTCAGCGAGGGCAGCGTGCCCAGCACGGCGGGCAGCGTGCCTGCAACAAGGCAGGGGGGCAGGGCGAGAAAGGCGCTGAAGGACGGAGGGTGCTAAAGCCAGGCCGGGCTGGGGCGTGATGGGCGCAGGCCAGGGAGTGGCGGCGGCGCAGACAGATGGGAGAGGGAGGAGGCCAGGGGGCACGCCTGGCCAGTGCAGGCCACCACACGCCGCGCCGCCAGGCAATGAGCGGGACCCACAGCGCTTTCTTTCCTCAGCCTCAAACCTTAACCAGAACCTTAAACAGACCTTAACCAGAACCTTAAACAGCCCCCCCCCCACCTGTCAAGCTGTTGTGCTGCAAGTCGAGGCGCTGCAGGCGGGGCGCCTGCCAGTCCGCAGGCAGCGCCCCGCCCAGCCGGTTGTCCCCGAGCAGCAGCAGCTCCAGGCCGGGCTGGCGGGCCAGGCCTGCGCCGCACAGCGGGGACCGCCGAGGGGCGGTGGCAGGCAAGGTGGCCGGTGGGTGGTGGCAGCGCTCCGGGGCGCGGCGAGCAGCAGGCAGCCCAGGCAAGCAGCCCAGGCAAGCAGCCCAGGCAAGCAGCCCGGGGAGCAGCCCAACCAGGCCACCGCGCCGCCGGCAGCGCGACAAGCCCACCTGCCGGCAGGCTGCCCGTCAGAGCGTTGTGCTGCAGGCGAAGCACTTCCAGGCCGGGCAGTGACGCCCACTGCTCCGGGATGCTCCCGCTGCAGGCACGAAGCAGGCAGGCGGGGCGAGGCAGGGCAGGGCAGGGGTCGGGTGGAGAGGCTGCTGGACGGCGACGCCGGCAGGTAGGGTGCTCACCATAGGCCGAAACGCGGGGGCTGGCACAGGCGCGGGGCGCTGCCAGCTGCGCCAGCATGCTCGCCTCATGCCCCGCCCCGCCACCACACACGTCGTGTCCAGAGTTGGGCCCCACCCCACCCAGCGAGCCCCAGCCCGCCGCAGCCCCGCAGCCCAGCCCCGGCCTGGTCCGCACCCCTGCCAACTCAAACCCAGCGCCTGCCCGGCTCCCGCCCCCTGCCAACCGCAGCCCAGCCCGGCCCAGCGCCCAGCCCCCAGCCAACCCCAGCCCAGCCCCCAGCCAGGTTCAGCCTGGCCCCCACTCAACCCCAGCCCCAGCCCACCTCCCACCCCCCCATGCCTCGCCTGAGCTGGTTGTGCCCCAGGTCCAGGTGGCGCATGGCGGCCGGCAGCGGCGGCAGCGCCCCCTTCAGCGCGTTGCTCTGCAGCTGCAGGGCCTGCAGCTGGGGCAGGGCGCTGAGGTCGGGCAGGGGGCCGCTGAGGCGCTGCAAGGCGGCAGGGGAGGAGGGGGGGGCGCAGCAGGGGTGTGAGGGAGCGTTTGGGTGGCGCAAGCCAAAGCAAAGAGGCCGCCCCCCGACACACACAACCACACACACACACACAAAAAGGGGTGAAGGGAGGCTTGGCGATCAGCCAGCGGGGCAACTTGTGACGCTGAGCGGCGACCGGCGGCCGGCTTTTCATGCCGCCGGCCGCAGCCCGGCCGCAGCACGCGCGCTGCTTCGCCACAGCGCAGGCCCCACAGGCTGGGCGGGCGGCAGCAGCGGTTATGGGGCAGCAGCAGCGGCATGGGACTGACCATGCCGTGTGCGGAGATGATGAGTAGCTTGGAGGCGGGGGGCGGCTGCGGCAGGGGCCCCTCCAGGCTGTTGCCAGCCAGGTAGAGCTCTTGCATGGCCGGAGACTCCACCAGGCAGGCCGGGATGCCGCCCTGAAGCTCGTTGGCTGCGGCGGCGGGGAGGCGGGGTGGGTGGCAGGTGGGGAAGGGTGAGTGGCGGAGTAGGCAGGGGTAGGTAGGCAGAGAAGCAGGGGGAGGCAGAGAAGCAGGGGGAGGCAGAGAAGCAGGGGGAGGTGAGGCAGCAGGGAGGCAGGCCAAGGCAAGGAGGCACGGGGCCAGGCGAGGGCAAGCCGGCGGGGATGCCGGCCGGCGGCGGCGGCAGCGCTCTGGGCGGCGGGGCGGCAAACACCGGTGGGAGAGGGCGCCCCAGCCCGGCGGCCGGGCGCCACCCCCACCCCCGCCACCGCACACTGACACACCCACGCCACACCCCCACGGCGCCAGCCCGCACTCCACGCTGACATGCGCAGCCCACACGCCCAGCATGCACAGCATGCAAAGTGCAAAGCACCCCACCCCACCCCACCTGCCAGCCCCAGCTCGGCCAGCGTGTCTGTGACGAGGTCGCAGCTCAGGCGCCCGCCCAGCTTGTTGTGCGACAGCAGCAGGTTCTGCAGGGCGGGCAGGCGCCTCACGGCTGCGCGGCACGAGGCGGCGGCGGTGGCAGGCAGGCAGGCGCGGCACGGGCGGCGGCGAGGGGGCAGACCCCCTCCAGGCTGCAAGCTGCTGTGGCAGGGCGAGCAGCTGCCACACAGCGGCACAGGCCATGCATGCAAACACACAAACACTGCACTTGCAACCACCACACACACACACACCCGGCACCACATCCTCCTCCAGGCTGCCAGTCAGGTCGTTCATCGTCAGGTCCAGCAGCGTGAGGCGGTCCAGGGCGGCCAAGGGCTCGGTGGGGAAGGGGCAGGACAGGTACTGCACAGTTTGCAATGCAGCGGTACCAGATCAGGTAGCGAGGGGCAGGGTAGGCGATTGCAGTGCCGCGGTACCACTTCGTGTTCGCCAGCACAATTCACCCCACCCAGGGCTGTGTGCCACTCCCCCAGCCACCACCACGCCAGCTGGAGCACCCAAACCACCCACCCACCCACCCACCCAGACACACACACACACACACACACACACACACAAAACTCACTTCGTTGACGAGCGCCAGGTGCAGCAGCCGGCCCTGCGGGTCGCACAGGTTCTGCCCCGTGTTGCACAGGTCCCAGGAGGCATCCCCCCCCTCCCCTGCATCCTCGGCGCCGCCGCCAGAGGCGGCGGGGGCGGCGGGCGGCAGGCCGGCGCGCAGGGTGGCGCAGGAGTCGGGGCGGCGGCAGCAGGGGCCGTCCAGGATCTGTGGGGAGGTAGAGATAGAGATAGAGGTCGAGGTGTGTGTGTGTGTGTGCACGTGTGTTTGTGTGGGTGGGTGGATGGTGTTTGTGTTGGTGGTGCAGCTGCTGCTGCTGGCTCGTTGGCTCAACCGAGCAAGGTGCAGGCATGCGGCAGGCACGCAGCGCTCTTTTGTGTGTGCAATCTCTCGCCTGCTGCAGCGCGGCGCGGTCGCCGGCGGCCAGGCGGCGCTGGCGGGAGTGCTTCTCGACGAGCAGCTTGTAGGAGGACTGCTCCGAGGAGCCCAGCACTGCAGGGAGGAAAAGAAAGGAGAGCAAGGCAGGCCGCAGAGCTGCTGGGAGGCAGGGAGCACGGGCAGGCAAGGCAGGCAGGCAGGCAGGCAGGCAGGCGAATGCTGCGCCGAGCGGCGGACAGGCCGGCGCTCAGCGGCAGCAGCCACTCTGCCGCCGCCCACCTGCCGCCGTGTACTCTCCAGCCGCCACTTTGGCCCTCGGTATGAACACCACGTCCTCGCCGCTGCCGTGGCGGCTGACCAGGCGCTGCCCGCCGGGCGTGTCGACCACCCTGCGGCGGCGGGGGCGCGGCGGGGCAAGGGCAGGGGAAGGGGCGGGAGCAGCGGGTGTTGGGATGGCTACGTTTGTGCTTGTCAGGCAGGGGCAATCTTCATAAAAATTCTCTCCACAGCTGCAGGGTAGTGGTGCATTGACCAACCACCTGCACAGCTTGCATTTCAAGCAGGGGGCATGTGGGCTGGGCAGGCAGCAAGAGGACGGCAGTGCATGCGGCGGCGGCGGTGCGCACAGGTCGGCATCGCCGCTCTGGGTGTGCAGGGTGAGCACCAGGTCGAAGGGATCGGAGGCTGCCTCAATCAAGAAGCGGTACGTCACGTTGCTGTCTGCAGGCAATATGCAGGAGGGGGCCCGGATGGCGGCGGATGTCGACAATCGAGACGCGGCGCCGCTGACATCACCGGTGCCAGCTCGCGCTCCCGCGCTCACCCGCCAGCACCGATCCGCTGTCGGAGCAGGCCACGGGCACGTCTTTGACGATGCTGGGAGGGCAGGTCAGCTGGCGGCCCTCGCCGGCGGCGACGCTGGACGTCAGCAGTATGGCCACGGCCAGGAGCAGGATGGAAGCCATCGCCGACATGTTTGCAATAGAGCCGACAGGCCGCCGGACAAGGCTGAGGGGGTCTGCGGGCAAGCTCCGCAATAGCGGCCCGCACGACACTCAGCCAAGCGCCCGAAACCACGCTGGAAGCTATGCGGGCAGGGATCGGGAGCGAGGGGACGACAATCGGACTGCCTCAGGTGTACGCAGCGCGCGCCAGATGAAGTTTGAAAGGCGGCGGCGCTGAGCTGGCGGCCGGACAAAAAGGCTGGATGGAGCAGCCTCGGCTGATTAATCTGAAATGGGTTGTTTCAAACAAGCACGATGATTCCCTTCGGTAACCTGATCCATTAAAGTAATGAGAAGGACGACAGCCGAGCAGGTGGGTGCTGGGCAGCAGGCGTGCCGCCGCCGAACACGGGCTTGAACTGCTGCGGCCTTGGTGCTGACGTGGACAGGGGGTAGAGTCGACCCTGACGTCACCAACGCAGCACCTCCCCCGTGGCCGCCCGCACAAACCGCCCCGTCTGCTCCTGCCGCAGCTCGTCCACCCTCAGCACAATCGCCGCCGCCGAGGCCTGCGGGGTGATGGCCCCGTGCGCCGACACCGCCATGCCGCCTGCCACGCCGCCTGCGCCGCTGCCGCCGCCTGCGCCACCGCTGCCAGCTGCAGCGGCAGCAGCGGCTCCACCCCTGCCGTCGCCGCCGCCGTCTGCGCCGCCGCTGCCGCCGCCGCCGCCGTGCCCGCCAGCCGACCCCCGACAGCGGTGGTACATGCCGGTTGTGACGGTGCCCGGGTGGATGAGCAGCAGCGGGATGCCGCGCTGGCGCAGCTCCAGAGCCAGCAGCTGCCCCGCCATGTTGGCCGCCGCTTTGCTCATCCTGCGCGCCACACAGGGGGGGCGCAGCGCCGCGCGGGCAAGCAGGCACGAAGGGATGTGGGTGGCCCTGGCGTGCGCAACACAGCCCAGCGCCAGCTGGGTGCGGCATGGAGGGGCAGGGGGCGGCGGCGGCGGCTGAATGGCAGGCAGAGTTCAACCCAGCATTGCCGAGCCATGGCTCCGGCCGGCCAGCCGGACCCCCCTCACAGGACACACATGCACTCACCTGTAGCCCACGCTGCCGTTCTGGCCGTCCTGGGCGGTGTCCGCGACGGAGCCCATCTTGGAGCTGACGATCGCCACCTTGGCGCCAGCTGGCGCCAGGTTGGCGCCCAGAGCGTGCGCCACGCGCAGCGGGCCCAGCGCGTTCGCCTCAACCTGTGCAGCGGCAAGGGAGCAGGCGGCGACCGGTGGACTCCCGCCCGGCGCATGGGAGCAGGCGGGGGCAGTCGGCGTGGCAACTCCAGCGCAGCCCCCAGCAAAGAACAACTGCAGGCTGGTTGCGTGCTGGGGCTCCTCATGCCAGGAACCCCGTGACACTCCCGCAGCCTCAATCACAGCCCCAACACCACCACCGCCATCGATGCATCTCCCCGCAAGCGCTCCGCACCTGCTGCCGGATGGCGGCTGTGTCCAGGTCGGCCATGCTGTATGTGCTGAGGATGCCGGCGCTGCAGATGAGCAGGCCCGCGCTCACCCCCGCCAGCGCCTGCCGCAGCAGCGCCATTGGCATCGCTGCCCACATCCACGCCCTCCACCACCGTCACGTGGCTGGAGCTGCTGCGTTGGCAGTCCTGCCTTAGGGCCTCCAGCTCCGGGCTGCTGCGGCGGCACAGGGCCACCACACGCCACCCGCGCTGCTGCAGCTGGCGGCACAGCTGCAGGGGCAGCAGGGCAGAGGGGCAGAGGTGCGCTGGGCCAAAAGCGCGACCGTGGCGGTGGCGGCAGTAGGGTTCTCCCAACTCTGTTGGAGGTACATTGACGGAAGGCGCATTGGGGCCTACCTCCAGGCCCAGGCCTCGATTGGCTCCGCTGACCACAGCCACAGCCGGGCTGCCCAAGGGCAAGGTTGGGGTTGCCATTTCGCTGCTGCGTAAATTGAGACTGGTTTGCGGAGCCAAGAATGTTGGGCTAGGCGTATGATCGAATTTGGGCATTGCAGGCCGCGCAGGGAGCGAGCAAGGGCACCAAAAGAGGCGTACCTGCTAGCATGTACTTCAGGCGCGCTTGGGCGAAGACAGGGTCGGCCTCCGGGAGGGAGGGTGCACATCGCGCTTGCGCAGCTGCATCACAGCCCGAAAATCACCGGCATCGGGCGTGTAGGTTGAGCGGACCCACCTTATCGGAGCCCAAGCGGGTGGGTTGTGCATGCCCGCCTGCCGCTGCATAACCCGTTAGTTTGGGCAGCACCGTGGACACGCAATGTGCGGGCCCCAGGCCGCCATGCTTCTGGACGCCGACTGCCGCTTGAGCGTGCAGTGTGCTGCTCCGCTTCCCGAGCAAGAGGCAGTGCATCATGCTGTCGCGGTGCTGAATAGCGGCAGCCCTGCCGCCATCGTGCCACCCAACACCGCGCCGCCGCCGCCACCGCCACTGCTCCCCTCCCGAACCCCGCCTCTGCCTGCCTCCCCGCTGCCGCAGCCAAACCAGCAGCCACCCAACACCCGCAGCAGCGGCAGGCGCAGGCGCCGCCATGGCCAACTTTTTGGGGCAGCCCTACATGGGGCCTGCCTCTGTGCCACATGCCAACCCGGATTTCTTCAAGGTTTACTTTGCGGGGGCGCACGTGAGTGGCTGCTGCACGCGTGCGCCACAGAAGCTGCTAGATACACAGAAGCACCAAGCTTGCGGCGGCCGCCTGCTGATCCGTGCATCGCTGCCCTGCTCGCTGCCCGCCGCCCGCTGCCGCGCGGTTGCCGCCGTTCTGCCGGATCCTCGGCACCGCCCGCAGCCTGCCCCACCTGCCCTGCCGTCCCCGCCCGCCCTGGCGCAGCTGGCCGTGGCGATGCTGACCGTCAACGGCCGCTTCCTGGGCACCGAAGTGCGGCCTCGCAAGTTCAAGTGAGCACAAACCGAACAGCATGTACACACCGTGAGGCCTCCACTGCAGTAGCAGACACAGCTGCTGGCCGGGCCGGTTGCCGCGCCAGCAGGCATCTGCTGGCCCTCCTGCCGAGCCCTCCCCAACCCGCGACTCCCCCTATTGCTTGTTCTGGCACCCCCACTCGCCTGCCACCCCCCGCCGCCGCCTGGCGCAGCCGCGACTACATCCTGTCCTGCTGCGACGAGGCGGCGCGGCGGCGCGAGGCGCTGCGCGGCCGCACGCCGCGCACCTGGGTCAAGGGCCGCCCGCTCCTGACCGACCACAGCTGGGAGCGCATGTTCAACTCCCACCTGCACTGGAAGCGCTGGGCGCAGGAGCGCATGGTGGGTGCGGCCGCGGCACCGGCTGCCTGCGGCTGTGTGTGTATTGTGTGTGTTTGTGGGCGCTCGCGGCCGCGGCACCGGCTGGCACGCCGCCGCCTGCCGCCACCTGCCCCTGCCCCTGCGTGCATGGCTGATGTCGCGACGCTGCTGCCCGCTGTGGGCGTCCCCGCTGGGGTGCAGGGCCCTTACTACTCGCCCTGAGCTTAGCTCACTCCCTCACTTGGCCCCGCGGTGCGCTCGCCAACCTGGCTGGGAGCCCGGGAGGAGGCCGCGTGCCCTGCTGCTTCGGGGCCTCACAGCCGTTTCCTCGCACCCCCATCCAGCCCCGTGCGGGCCAGCCGGCCCTGCGACAAAGGCGAGACGGCCAGCCGCCCGCCGGCGCTGCCGCGTCTTCCTTTCCGCTCCTCTCGCTCCTCGCTCCCCTCTTCTGCTGCACTCCTGCTTCTCCTGCTCCGCCTGTCAGCTTCAAACTTTCTCCCTCCTCAGTCCCTGTGAGCGCTCACCAGCCTCGGACCATCGACAACAGCAGCAGGCTGCTCCTCCCCGCCGCCAGCCGCGGCGCCCCTGGTACCGACGGCGGCGGCGGCAGGAGCCAGAGTCCGCAAGTACGAGGCCCGGTCCCTTGGGAAAACCAGGCAGCGCAGAGGTCTAAGGGTGGCTAGCAGTGTACCAGGCTCGCGTAACTTCTGCACGTGCAAAACCCTTCCTCCTGCCAGGTGGTGCTCGGTGGGCTTTACCACCTGAATGACGACTGTGCCACCCCTGGGCGCCTGTTCCTGTTCCCGCTCTTTGAGCAGCCACTCGCATCTGAACCCTTTGCCCTGGAGCACTTGCAGCGGGCCAGCAGCACGCCGGCGAATTTCACCCCCTGGGCTGGAATGCTGTGCGGCCCCTGCCTGAGCCCCTGCAGCCAGCACTGGCGGGCAGGCTCGGGCGTCTCGCGCATCCTGGGCGCGGGAGAGCGGGTCGCCGTGGGGCTGGAGGATGGAGGCACGCTGCTGTTCAGCGAGCACGACTTGGGCGCCCCCCTGTCGGAGCTTCCAGCCGGCGCAGGTCGCTGCTCAGCGGCGGCCTGCACGCCCGATGGGGGCACGCTGCTGCTGGGCGTGGGAGCCCAACTGCGCGCCGTGGCGCTCGCCGGCGGCCCCAACCCTTCCCCAGAACCACTGGACCTTGGAGGCGAACAACCAGACGCTCCAGTAGCCTGCATCGCCTGCCAGGAGCACGCAAACGTCTTCGCAATTGCTCGCGGCAGGTGGGGCACTTTCGCAGCCTGTCAAGGCAATGTGGCGCCCTGTGGACGCACTCACAAGCCGACGGCTTGCGGGCAGGGCCAGGGGGACAACGGGCAGCAGGGGCAGGAGGCCACCGTGCGGCGGCGGCGAGCGGCGCGAGCGTTGGCCCCCCGCCTCCCGCCACCTCCTCCTCCGCTCCCGCCCCCCAATCACTGCTCTCCCGCCCCCCGCACCACCCTGCAGCTGCGTGCACGTGCTGGATGGGACATTACAAGAGCAGCGGCGCATAGGGCCGCTGCCGGCGGCGGTGCAGCAGCTAGCGTGGGCGGGCGACACGCTCATAGCGGCCACGCCCGGCGCGCTGCACACCTGGACGCACAGCGGTGCGCTGGACGGCCCCACGCTGCCCAGCCCCTCTCCAGATGCGCGGTTCCTATGCGTGGCAGCCTCCCCGCAGCCCGCCCTCCTGGCAGCCAGCTGCGACGAGAAGGAGGTCGGTCCGCCGCAGCGCCTCGCCGCCGGCCGCCGCCGCTCGCTGCCTGCCAGCCCTGCCGCGCCGCGCGGCGCAGCCGGGCGCTTGCCGGCCACCTGCCGCTTCGCGCCGGATGCCGCACCGCCATGCCCAGCGGCTGCCGCCTGCCGCCTGCACGCACCGCATGCTGCATGCCTTGGGCCCCCCCGCTCGCGCCTCCCCACCTTGCCCGCCCACACCATTGCTGCCGCGCCTGGCCCCCCACCCCCCCTGCAGGTGCGCTGCTGGGACCTGGCCTCCCTGCTTTCCTCCCGCGACGGCGAGCCGCTGCGCCTGCGCGAGTTTGACTCGCCGGTCACATGCATGGCCTGGCACCCCTCGGGCCAGTACCTGGCCACCGCCGACGGCGCAGACTGCACAGTCTGGTGAGCCGGGAGGTGGCTGGGAGGGTAGCTGGGAGGGTGTCCCATCCAGAAGGGGTGGGCGCTGCATCGAGGAGGGATTTGTATGGAGGGGTTTGGGGCTCTGCATTCCATAATGCTGGTATCCCATGAAGCTGAGGAGAGCCGGCGCGTCGGGCGGCTGGCGGGTGGCCGCGTGCGCGGCGCGGGCCAGGCTGCCGCGGCTCATGCGCTGCTTGCTGCTGCTGCTGCTTTCATGCTGCTTGCTGCTGCTGCTGCTGCTGCTGCTGCTGGCGCTGCTGCGGTGGGCTGGCGTGACAGTGCATGCCAAGGCACTCGCACACCTGCCGGCATGCTGCAGGGCTGCGAGCAGGCTGCGTGCCGGCAGCAAGCCCACCTCTCCCTTTTATCATTACTTCTTTTCTTCTCTCCCTCCTCGCTCCATCTTCCCAACCTGCCTGCCCCTGCCTGCCCCGCCTGCCTGCCCCGCAGGGACCTTGCTGACGCGGCCGGCGCCGAGCGCGCCTGCAGCATCGAGTGCTGCGGCCACGAGCCGCGCACCGTCATCACAGCCATGGCGTTCCAGCCCGACGGACCGCTGCTGGTGCGTGTGCCGGCGGCGGCATATGGGGCTTGGCAGCGCGGGGGCTGGCAGCGCGGGGGCTGGCAGCGTAGGGGGCTGGCGGCACAGGCAGCGTGCCGCCAGGCATCTGGCTGGCCTCGCTGGGAGGCGCCATCCCCCGTCGGTGTGCCGGCAGCTCTGCTTCCCGCTTCCCCGGCGCCAGCTGCGGTTCTGGTGCCTGCTCCTTGTCGTGAGGAGCGCCGGCTTGGTTTTAGTCCCACCCCACTCCCCGCTCGCCTGCCCCCGGGCCGCCGCCTTGCCCGCCCGCCTGCGTGCCTTGCAGGCCACCGCCAGCGGCAGCGGCAAGGTGGCTCTGTTTGACTGCCAGCAGTTCCGCCGCGGCGGCGTGCTGGCCCCCGCCGCCTTCACCCGCCTCGACCAGGCGGCAGATGCGGTGACGGCCCTGCACTGGCTGCCCTGCGGGCGCCTGGTTGTTGGCGATGCCGGCGGGCGCCTGGTGTGCCTGCAGCTCATGGCGGCGGTGCCTGCCGAGGCTGCGGCGGCGCCGCAGCAGCAGCGGGCCGCAACAGCGGCGCCGCCGCCGCGGCCGCGGCCGCGGCGGCCGAGGGCGGCGGGGCTGGCGGCCCTGCAGGCTTCTCCGCCTCTCTCATGCACCACATCCAAGCAATCAGAGAGAACCCGCCGCAGGCCGGCGGCCGCTCAGACCAGCAGCCGCAGCTGGCGGGATGGGGCCTGGGTGCGTACCTGCTGCCTGCCGCCGCAGCCGGCGCCTCCGCTTGCCACGGCCGAAGCAGCCTCTCCCAGCCTGCCGGACAGCCAGCCGGCTGCCTGCCGTGTTGCGTTGCAGCAGCACAGCTGGAGACGCTCACCTTACCTCACCCGCTGCCGCCGCCGCCCACCTGCCGCCGCTGCCGCCTTTCTCCCTTTCCTCCTCACAGGCTCTCCCTCCGGGGCGCACGTCCCCTGGATGATGGTGGGCGCCGCGGGGCTGGGCATGGCGCCAGGTGGCGGCGGGACCGCCGCCGCCGGTTTCGCCCAGTACCAGGCGCAGCCGGGCATGATGCAGCACATGGGCATGGCGGTGCAGGTGAGGCGCAGGGATGGGGCGTGGTGCTGGGGCTGGCAGGCCTGGGCGCAGGATGGGGCGTGGCGCTGGGGCTGGCAGGCCTGGGCGCAGGATGGGGCGTGGCGAGCTGGCAGGCCCGCGTGTCGCGTGCTGCTGGCTCGAGCGGCGGGGACATCGGCGGAGGGGGTGCGGGGGCTCGTCGCGTGGCCTGTGCAGCCCAGCCCCGCTGGCAGCCCAGCCCCGCTGGCAGCACATCGCTTGGCGCTGGCTGAAGCCACGGCTTGCGCACACACATGCACACACGCATGCACGCAGCAGCACACACACATGCACCTGCACGCAGCAGCGCACACACCCCTGCCCCATCCCACCCCTCACGCCTGCAGCCCCCCGCCGGCATCCCTGCCGGCTACATGGCTGCGCCGGCGGGCGGCCCACAGGGCGCCCCCACCGGCGCATACCCTCCCGCCATGTATGCAGCGGCGGGCGGCATGGCGCCGCAGCCGCTGATGGCGGGGCAGTGGATGCCTTACATGCAGCAGGTGGGGGCAGAGCCGGGTGGCTGGCTGGCTGGCCGGCGGCGCTGCCCTGACCGGCGCTCGCCGCTGCTCGCGCCGGCTGCCTGCGTGGGGCCTGCCAGAACGTCGTATGCCCTTTTCATGACAATATCTATGTAGTATTTTTCGTGCCATTCACTTTAGTTGACGGCCTTGGCGAGTCTCATCGCCCGCCCGCCTGCCTGCCCGCCTGCCCCGCCTGGCCGCCTGCCCCCAATGCAGATGCAGCAGTGGGCGGGCACCGCGCCCGGCTACATGATGTACCAGCACCCGCAGTATGCCGGTACCGCGCCGGTACCGGGCGGCGGCGTGGTGCGGCACAGCGGCGGCGCCGCCGCCGCCGCCGCCGCCTTCCAGCCCATGCTGCCCCAGGGCGGCGCGGGCCCC